ATCCAAACACTTAAATTTGCTTATTGCGGTGGGATTAAGCAATAAGCAATAAGCAGCCTATTTTTTCCCTATCTAAACACCCCTTAATACTCCTTTATTGTTTAGCCTTTTAAATTTGATTATAGAATTACTTTGAAAAGTCAAAATAGCGTTGCTCCATGTTAAATATTAGAACTTCATATAATGTGGTGCCTACCTATCTTCTCTTGCACCGGTCATTAATAAGTAGGCAATGGCCATCCATATGACTATCGTTCTCATAGTCTCCTCTTTCATAATCTCCATCGATGGTTATACAATACCATTTATAGCAACGTACTTTCAATAGATTTGACCCGAAAACCCAAAAAATCATGAATCCATAAACCACGGATTTAAAACCTAAAACCCATAAATCGAAAAACTGAAAAGCCAACACATGCTCATCCCTAAAAAAATATGATGTCATTCTTTTTATTTATAACTATTGCAAGTTAATTTCTATTAAATTGTAAAAAAATGATACAAATAAGGATTAATCACAATAGTGACCAAAATGGGATAGTCTATATCATTGAAAGATCAAATTTCTAGGAAATATCACGGAATTAATAACCACTCATTTTGCAAATAAATGATTCTATGAATGGTTCACACTACAAAACCTTATAGTTGGTTAAAAAATTTGTCAACTTATTTTAAAAAATTTAAACTGTTTATACTGAAATGTCATATTTCATAAATTAAATTACATTTTGAGTCTTTGTGGACTTGTGGTAATCTATATGTACTTAATAATCATTGTAATAGAGATCAAGAAAGCATTGCAAAAACAAAGCCACAAAGGGGGTATATCCCTTGATCCAAGAATCGTTCGATTTTGCTTAGGCATTTAACTCACAACATTGTCAAAAGATGCACAAAACTAATTCAAATTGTATCACTTGCAGCTCAATTGATTCGAATCCAACTTTGAACCCTAAGATCTCCATAGTTAAGACTAAAAGATGAATGACTTTCAAGCATCATGTTCATAATACTGGCGTTTTCATGATTTGGGAACCTAATTTGGAGATAAATTGGGGGAAATCGCCATATTTGTTGAAAACTCACAGATCTTAACCTTCAACACTTGGATCATAAACAAGTAATTGATCGGGGAAAGAAAATCATTCAATTTTGGTCCAAACAGAAAACATATCGGCATATAACGAAGGATAACTCAATTTATATCTCCATAGCAAGTCAAATCGGTATCAATTACACTAAAACGGTAGTAATAGAATTCATCAAGCCTCAAATTCGAATGATAGGTACTCATATAACTTAAATAACAAAAGCGAATCAAATCCAGAGAGAACTTATCTAAATCCCCCAATAAAAGGGTTACAGATCGACAACTTACTCCTTGTTCTTCAACTTCTCAATTCGCTGATGGAGCTGGTCAACACGAACAACAAGCTTCGTGACAGAGTACAAGATCCAATAGAAGACGAGTGCAGCAGCGATAAGTAAAGCGTTGCGCTGGCTCTTCATGATCGATTTCTGGTGGCGGAGGTGCTCCGATGGTGAGCAGTTCTGAGATTCGCAGCTAGGCATCGTTTCGTACTTCCAGTAGATGTCCGCTAGCAAAAAGAGGCAAAAGGGTACGACGGAAAGGAAGGGTTTGAGGAGGCTGGTTGTAACGGCGATAAGACCTTTCCTGAGTGCGTCGAGGCCGGGGAGAGTTAGGAGGATGATCATCACGGCTTCAGCTGCGGCGGCGTAGCCTAGAACCACCCATTCCAAAGCCATTTTGATGGATTATGGAGGAATCGGATGAGTTGGGGGGATTTTGAAGGAGCAGGTAGATTAGCAACCAAGCAAAGAAGCGATCTTCGATGGCGGAAAAGTATATGTGCTCATGGTCATAGCTACCACCACGCGCTTTCAACTGATGACGTCAGAATTAATGATAATAATACATTTTGCTTTTTATGAAAAACATGAATTTCACTTTGGTGAATTTCAACTCTTTAATGTTTAAATGTTTTCTCGTTAGAAGTCTAAAATATTTTGAATAAAAAGAAAAAAATAAAAAGATATAGTCTTTTATGGAAATAACCCTTTTTGATAATTGACGAAGACAAATAATATCCGTCCATTTTAGACATGAATGTTATATAAAGGATCAATTTTAAGTTCATTCTCAAATTAATGTTATTTCTCTTCTCATATTTTCTCTTTCTTCAATTCTTTTTTGATTTAAAGAGAATTACTAATCTAATCATTTTTCCTAATTATCTATCTAAAAATAGCAAAAAAAAAAGACTTTAACCAAAAATAGCCCCCAAAAGAGTAAAGGCTAGCGTTGACTACGATATAGAGAGAGAGAGAGAGAGAGAGAGAGAGACAAG